CGAACCAGGGGACCCTCCCTCCTCTCTCTGTTCCTCCTCCCTCCTCCAAGGCCTCTCGCTCATCTCTGCCCACCTCCCCCGCTGGCCCGGCCCCGAACCCCCAGCAGAAACTTGGTCATGACCTGGGTTCACTGGATACATTACTTTGAGGTGTGGTGAGGTCATCGTGGGCCAGGCATCTGCAGGGCTGGTTTGGGATTTCTCACGATGGACGGGACTTTGCACCCAGCTGTCACTGGTAGGCCGCGGGGATGGAGGAGCAGCAGGGCCTGCGCATGCCCCAGTCTCTCTTCAGAAGAGGGCTTCTCCCAGCATTGCTGGCCCCAGCCCCGGCCTCGGCAGGGGGCCAGTCAGTCAGTCCAGGGGAGAGGGGACAGATGCCAGGGATGAGACAGGGTTGAGCCTCTGTCCTATGTCACAGTCTGTGGTCCTGTCACCCTTGGACACACACATATACAAACATGCGCGCATGCATGCACACATACCCCCATGCACGCACGCCCATGCACACACCTGCACGCACAGTTATGTACTGACCCCTTGCTTGGGGCCTGTGGGGCTCTGGGTCAGGTCAGCTGCCTCACCTGAGTAGGCCTGCCAGGCAAGGCTTATCTGGCTTTGGTTTTCTACAAACGGGTCACTAGGGATGCTATGTGGGTAAAAAAGAGAGCCTGGAATTTGGGGGTAGGTCAGCCCTGAGTTCAGACTTCAAATCTCACTTTGGCCTCTAACCAGCTGGGCAAGTCACTCCCAGTTATGGGCTGAATGGTGCCCCTAACCCCCTGTATCTCAGAATGTGACTATATTTGGAGACAGGGCCTTAACGAGTTAAATAAGGTAAAATGAGGTCACATGGCTGGGTCCTAACCCCATGGCACCTGCCTCCTTATAAGAAGAGGAGAAAACAGGAGGGGTGCTCGGTGCCAGGGAAATGGCCGCCAGGACATGGCGGGAAGGCAGCCAGGAGACACCAGCTCTGATCTGGGACTTCCAGGCTCCAGACTGTGAGAAAATAAATTTCTGTTGTTTAAATTTAAATAGCCCAGTCTGTTTATGGTATTTTGTTAAGGCCTCCTGAGCAGAGTAATTCTCCCCCTTTCTTTGAGTCTCTACATTCTCATCCATAAATGTCTCCCTCAGGGGCTGGCGTGTGGATTAAATACAGTCACTCAGGGAAGTCGCTAACCAGCGCCAGGCACCCCTGAGGGCTTGGCACACGGGAGACCCTGTTTCTGGACCCTGGATCAGGCCCCCAAACCTCCCTGGGGACAGAGGTGTACAGATGACAGGGATCCAGGTAGCCCCACCCCTCCTGCTCTCTGGCCTTTTTTTTCTTTTTTCCAATTTTCTCCTTTTTAAAAAAATTATTGAAGTATAATTGACCTATAACATTACATCAGTTTCAGGTGTGCAATATGATAACTCAATGTTTGTATATATTGCAAAATGCTCACCACAATAAATCTAGTTAACACAGAGAATTTCTGTTTTCAGGGAGCTCCTTTCTGGGATGGGGAGCTCACAGCTAAATCAAAAACACCTCAGTGAGCATCGATCAGATTCCTTTTTTTAAACCAGAAGAATGTCAGCTCAATGAACACCTCCAGGAGACAAACGGACACCAAAATCCCAGGACACTTCCTGTCCACGGAGGAAGGGCATGGTCTCCAGATGCTAAAGACCAGCCTCCACAAACAAGGTCCAGGAATGCCCTGAAAACCCTGCTTACTTTCCAGTAAAATGGGTAAAGAGCATTTCTAGCCTCTCTTGCTTGGTGGACCAAAGCATTGACCCCAGGACAGTGAGCCTGGCACACACACACTTGCACAAACACACACATGGTGGTGTTCTTACAGTGGTCGCCTGGTCCCGCTCACTGGCTGGCTCTGTCCCCTTGCTGGGAGCTGGACCCACAGATACCCAATCCACCCCTTGAATTCCAACCCCACCCCAAGAGGGTGCTGGGGTAAACGGATCCCCCTCTGACCTTCCTGGCCAGCCTCAGGCCCAGTGGGAGGCAGTGGGCACCCTGCCTTGCAGGTGGGGGCACGAGGCTGCCTAGTCAGCTCAGCTCAGGGCTGCAGGGAGCACTGGAAGCTCAGGAAGGGGAGAGTGTCTGCATCGGGGGGTGGAGGAGGAAAGGACAACCTGGGATCATGGCTGGCTACCCTCAGCTTCCGAGTATTCGCCTGTTTTCTCATATCTGTGACACCGATCCCCAGCCTGGAAAGTCCTCCAGGGCTGGCTGGTTGGCTGCATCCTGGAGCAATCCCTGCATCTACACAGGGCTGGCTCTGAGCCAGAGTCCGATAGATGTTTGTTGACTGGCTGAATGAGCTGGTTGCTGCCCAGGAGGGTAATTCAGGCAAGTCCAGCAGATGAGCCCTGAGCGCACTGCTCACTGCTGTTCATATCGGGGCTAGATGCAAACTTTGTTTTGTTCTCTGCTGTTTCTCATGGCCTAGAAGAGTATTGAACAGGCCCTCAGCAGACACAGATTTTTAATCAATGCTGAGGACACAGGCACGAATGGTCCAAATCTTGTGGAGAAAGCAGAAGTATCGACAAATGCAATTTGATGAGATCTCTTTTGGGAGAGAGAAGCCCAGGAGGCCATGAGACGTGGACAAGGCCTATTTGGTCAGCCTAAGAATCAGAGAAGGCTTCCTAGAGGAGATGGGCTTTGAAGGATGAGTAGGAGTTTGACCAGGCATATGCTATATGGAATGCTCTTCCTAGAATATACAGAGGCAGAAATGACGGGAACCACAGATGTTGGGAAGGAAGATGACTAGGCTGAGGGGGAGACAGGGGCCAGGGACCTGAGGGCTGAGAGGATGCTGCAGATTCTGTCAAGAGATAGGTCCCTTAGTAGAAAGGAGGTGGTTTTCTGTACCCCACCTGGGAAGAGGGTTAGGCTGTTAGCGGGCAGCCTGCCTGGCTGAGCATGCAGCCTTGAGAAAAGGAGATGCTGTTTTCAAAAGGGTTTTTATTAACCGCTCCCCACAGTGCCTCCTGCCACAAGTGCTGCAGCGCTGGGGTGCACCCGCCAAGGAAAGGGCCTGGTCCATGTCCCCTGTGGCCAAGGCTGGGCTCATCCATGTAGCCAAGAGCCGTCCTCGCCTGGAGGTCCCAGTGTACGTCTGGCTGCTCCTCGAGGGGCTTGGGAGCTGTGGCAGAGGGACTTGGTGCTGGTAGCTGAAGGCAGGCTCCAGTGCAGGGTTGGGGGACCTGTCTCCTCACACACCCTGAGATGCTCTTGAGATGCTGAGTGGGTCCAAAGCATCCCCACTCCATCCTGGGGGGGGGGGTATGGGAGTAGCTGTGGCCAGGCCAGTGCTCCTGAGGGCAGTTCTGGGGAAAAGAAGCCCTCTCGGGGGAAAGGCCCAGGATCCGGGTGGGGGTGGTATGTGGGGACAGGGGCGAGGCTTGCGTTCTGTTTGCTGTAGCTGGCTGGAAAGTCCCTTCTTGCTCGGAGCCTCAGTTTCCCTTCATGCCTAATGAGGAACTTGGCCTCTCAGGGCTGTGACTCTCCTCCAGGACGCATGCTGGGGGCCACTGATCATGTTGTTTATATAATTGTACTGCCACCACGTGCTCCGTCGGTTGCAAGCACGTGTGGTGTGGGCATTCCTGTTGGGAGTGTGTATGTGTCTAGGTGGGGTCAGATGTGGGGCTCCCACATGTATGAGTGGGTGCAGCTGAGCATGAGCAGGACTGTGAGGGTGTGAGCCCGGCCCGCCCGCTTCTCCACCGGGATGACTACTGCCATTGGAGGGGCCGCGGGGCCCCGGCCTCACAAAAAGTTGGGCTCCCGAACCACGAGGCAGGGCGGGCCCCCGCTGTCCCCGCCGCCGTCCAGGGGCCGGTACACGAAGTGGAAGTCGCGCTTGGGCTCGCTCCGCAGCAGGTAGCCCTTGATGCGGTGGGGCAGCGCCTCATCGGCCAGCTGGAAGCAGCGCCCGTCGACCAGCACGAAGAGCCGGTAGTCCTGGGGCTGCACCACCTCGAACTTCTCCGCGCACTGAGCGCACAGCGCCTCGGCCGGCGTGTCTGCCCGCGACGCCAGCGTCCGCGACTGCTGCTCGGGCTCCAGGTACGATACGCAGATGAAGTCCTGCGGGGCGAGGCGGAGGAGGCGTGGGTCACCGGCGGGGCCAAGCGTTGTTGTCTCCTCTACCCCAACGCTGAAAGCTTGCACAGGGGTGAGGAGCTGAGTGGCCTTGGGCAAATCCTTTGCCCTCTCTGGGACCCACGCTCCTCTCTATAGAGAGGGGATGGCAGGAGGGGTTGTGAGGCTGGCGGTCGGGGCACCCGCGGCTGACCCCGCTGTGCGACCTCGGGCAAAGCCCTTCCCTCTCTGAGCCTCACTATCAATGGGGCCGATCTTTTGGATGAGCCGGTGGGCTTTGAGTCTCAGCAATGAGTGAGCGCGCCCCCTGGCGGCCAGTCCATGGGCTCGCAGTCATCTATTCATCTGTAACTCTTCTTCCCTGAGTCCTCCTGCATCCCGGGAGCAATGCCCGGCGCGCACGGCAGCATAAATAAAATCAGAGGTGCAGACCCCACCCCCCATACCATGGTTCAGCTGGAGCAGCTAAGGCAGGCAGAACAGTTCAGCCCTTAGGGCTGGAAGAGCTTGGGGGTAACTGGAGGGATGGTGTTCCAAGGAGGAGCAGGCAGGCAGGGAAGCTAGGGGAGAAGCCTTGGTAGAAGGGGCTGGGGAGCTGGGCCTGAAGGATGGAGGCTTTAGACAGTTGGAGAGGTTGCACCTCATGAACTAGGTGCACAGGAGTGAGGTGATGCCTGCGAGGCTGGAGATGGAACACTCACAGCTTCCTCCACCGTCTCAGTCCCTGCCTAGACTTGAATCTGCTCCCACTCACTGTGTAACCTTGACCTCTCTGAGTCTCCATTTCTTCAACTATAAACTGGGGATAACACTAGCCCTTACACCGTGGCTGGGTAGAAGTGGTGTGCACAGGGCTGCCCCCTTGTGGAAGAATGATGACGGTTCAGCCATCTCATGATAAAGGAATGACACTTCAGAGTGGTGATAATCACAGCTACAGAGTGGTGAGAACCTATGAGGCGCCAGGCTCTGGGTCAAGATTCACTGGGATCACTCCTTTCTTCCGGGAGGAGGGGAAGCATAGCCCACTCCCTTGGGTCTTGGTGGCCACGAGTGTTCTCCTTGTCCCCTATTGGGCCTCCCAAGTGCCCTTTACACCTACCGAGGGACCGTCAGGCTCTGGGCTTTCACTCCCAAGGGAGGCATTTAGGGTGTGGGGTGCGGAGGGGGCAGAGGGTGGTGCCCTCCCCAGACCCAGGGATAGTGCTGAGAAGGCTCCTCATCCCAAGCCTCCTCCTGAGCTTTGCCTCCCCAGTGGGAGGCACTGACGCTCTGCCTGGCTCCAAACTGGGAACCCCCGGGATGGAAGCAAGAAGTAAGGAATGCTTGGATCAGGCTTGGACCAACAGTGCCCATATTCCAAGAGTCAGTGGAGGGACAGGTGTGCCAGGAGGCGGTGAGGAGCAGCAGTGTGCTTTAGCTGGCTCTTACCAACTCATGCTGGCTCATATCAGTTTGAGAAAGCCAACTGGGTACATCTCTTGCCAACTCCAAGTTCAGTGATGCCAAGTTAGTAGCTTGAAGTTGGCCATGTATTTACACCATGGAAACTGACAGGGGCTTTTTTTTTCCTCCCCAGAGAACCAGTTAATAAACATTGTCAAGACACCATTGATTAGAGGTGAGGGAACATCAACTTGGCAGCCTAGAATATGTACTGGGGAGACAGAGCACAAACGGTCCACAGTCTTCCTGTGCTAATAGAGAAACTGAGCCCCAGAGAGGGTTAGACACTGCTTGGGGTCACACAGCAAGCTAGTACAGAGCTGGGTTCATACCCTGAGCCTCTGGCCTCCCAGGCCTGGGCTCTGTCAGTTACAGAAGGGTAATCTGGAAAGCCAGGAGTGGGGTTCAGGTCCAGTGTACTCTGGGTGCTGGGGAAAGTTGAGTCTTCTGAGCTATTTACAGCTCTGGACTGCAGCCTGGTTCACTGTCCTAACTCCCTCCATTCTGCATACACCCCAGTCCTACTCTGTCCCAGGCCCTGGGCTTAGGGCCCTTGAGACATGCAAGCCGTGGGCTCTGCTCTCTCAGGACGATAGCTTCATACGTAGATGGTTACAATAGTGTGATATATGCTGTGATGGGTGAAGTACCTCCATGAAGCACAGAGGAAGGCACCTAACCCAGGCCATAGGGAATAGGGGGCAGACAGGGGATGTCAGGGAAGGCTTCTCAGAGGAGGGGCCGTTGGAGAAACTGAGGATGGGTAGTGGCTGCCGGTGAAGAAGAGGAGATGGACCTGCATGGGCAGAGGCTAAGCACGAGGAAGTTGAGCCCAGTATGTTCAGGGAAT